ACATATGTAGATAGAAATACAAATAAATAAAACTAGAAACAATTAATAATATGTATTACTTAAAATTTATATCGATGAATTATGTGAACAAATATCTGACTTTTTATTTATTTATATATAATATCAACAAAATCTGACAAATTGAATCAAAGAAATATATATATATATGTATACATGAAATCAAAACTAGTGGAAGTTATATTAATAAAGAATACGAAATCAAAATATTTAATAGAGATTCATCGACGAGTTGGAATCTAAAATAAAGAAATTTGTTTTTGTATTATTTCAAACATTTATATGAATATATCATACTACTCGTTTAGATAGACGACGCTTATGAATAAGATCATTAGTTTTATTTCGACCCATATCAACAACAGTATGATTACTACTATGATTCTTTCCAATTTTAGGTGTTGATGTTACAATCTATTAAATTAAAATAAATTAAAATAAAAAAATAAATCTTTAATTATTTTACTCGTGCTACTCCATTAATATTTTTAATATTTTCTAATTGAGTAAATTCAAGTGTATCATCTTCATCATGATCATTTTCAGTAACTTGTTCTTGAATTGTTTGTTTAACAATATTTCGAAGTGATTTTTTACGTATATTATTTTTCGATAAAGTACGTTGAGGAACAGCAGTTGAATTTACTGATGATACCGTTTTTGATACTGTTGTTGTTGTCGTATTTGATGTAGCATTATGTTGTTGTTCAAGAATTTGACGAATTGGAATATCATTAATTAAAAATTGTTCATTCATATGTTCTTTTTCCCATTGTTCAAGTGTATTCAAACAAGTTCGTTCAGCTTTTGGTAAAGCAATAGCAAATCGTTTACGTTCTGCTTGTTCTTTTACTGCCGAATAACCACGTTCATGAAAACGTGCTGCGGAACTAGATTTTTTCTATAAAACAAAAATCAATTATCAAAAAAAAAAAATCAATATATTTAAATATACTAGAAATTCAGTATGTTGTTGTACAAGTAATTTCCATTGTTCAAAAACATCAATAATAGGTTTTCGTGCACGACACATATCATCTAAACGATCATATTCTCGATCACATTCATCAAGAGTTTCAGGTGTAATAGTTTCTACAAAATTTCAAAATATTCTATATTTAATCCATAGAGAAAAAAAACCAATTTTATTCTTACCAAAATCAATTGAATGACGTTCAGATAAACCTATTTGATATTGTTCGTAGAATTCTTCAATCTTTTTACGCATACTTTCACAATATACTTGACTAGTAGCCATTCGTTTAGCTTGTAATTCACTAATTTCATTTTCTAACTAAAATGATGTAAAACAAACTTATTTTCAATTAAACTCCTCATCAAACTATACCTGTTTCACTGTTTCCGCATTATTATGTCGTAAGATATAAGCAGCTGAACGTTTTGGTGGTGTCGCATCGTCTCTTGCAAGTTTTGTATATAATTTTTCTAATGTTTCTACAAGTCTATAAACATATTTTTCTTGTTCTTTAGATTTACATTCAAGCTTAATACAAAAAAAAAGAATAAATCATTCAATAGATTTTATATATATGTGTTAGAAATATACTTCATTAAGAAGAGATTCAATTTGATTAAGAGAATCTGTTGTTAAACAAGATTCATATTTTTCATCCATTAATTGACATGCAATTGAAAATTTATCTAGTTTAAAATCTAGTTGAGTACATAAAGTATCTAAACGAGTTCCATATGACTTAATCGTTGTAAGTCGTTCGATCTAATATAAAAACATAAAGTGATAACTTATAATATTTTCTCTTATAATACAAACTTTTATAGTCTCTAGTGTAGTTAAATAATCTCGTAAATTTTCAATTCGTTTCACTAAAGTTTCATCTAAATAGAATATTGATATATTTTTTTAAAATAGTTATTTTTATTTACCTGGAGTAATTTCCATGGGTGTAGCTGTAAGAATTTGACATAAAGAACGTTCATTTTGAGATAATTGATCTAATTCTTTAATACATTTTTCTTCTTTAATATCTAATTCTTGATGTTTTCTTTCAATTAGAATTTCTTTTTGTTTTAATTTCATATTTTCAAATTCTTCCTTCAAAAAAAAAAATAAGATAATGAAACTTGTTTTTTCTCAAAAATTTTCATCTTACATTAATATCATTTTCAAAACCTGTTCGACTTAATCGATGTTCATATTCACGTAATGTTTCAACTAATAATTGTTCACGTTTAGTTATATCTGTTAATTTTTTTGTTTGTATACGATCTAATACAAACTTGAAGAAAAAAGGAAATTGAAAATTTCTTTTTAATGAATAGACTAACTCGTGAAAATTGTTCAACTTTATTATTTCGTTTAATTAATTGTTCATTATTAAAACCAAGTTGTTTCAACCATTGATTTGTCCATCGATCAATCATTAATGAATCGATCGGTAGAGTTTCTGTCATTATTCTATCTACAAGAAAGACAAAAAAAGAATAGTTCCATATTTAAGTAATAATCTTCATTTTTCTATTTCATAATTGATTTAGTATGTGAGAGTATATAATAAAGTAATTGAGGAAAAAATCGACGAAGATAAATAAGAATTGATGTGAGATGACTAACATAAATTTCATGTTTACGATTTGCAATACCACGAAGTATATCACAAGCATATTTCGATGGATCAGGTTTTGAATACATTTTTCCATATTTTAATACTAAATCTTCAAGAGCATTTGGTAATATTGCTGTTCGAATAAAATCAGGACAAACAATAGTAACATCAATATGATCTCGAGCATGTTCCAATCGAAGACAATCAAAAAATCCACGTAATGCATGTTTCGACGCTGCATATGATGAATATAATGCTGAACCAACATAACTTGCAATTGATGATACAACAACAAAATGTCCTTGTTGACGTTCAATAAAATGCTAAAGTTTATATTTAGTATGAAAGATGATCAAAGAAATATTTATTTACTTCTAGAACTGTTTTACTTAATGTAATTGTACCAAGATAATTAACATTCATTAATCGTGCATCAACATTATAGCCTGTATCTTGAATAGAATCTCGATGTGATATACCAGCATTATTAATTAAAACATCGATTTGACCAAATCGTTCGAGAACAAGATCAATTTTTGATTTAAAAAAATCATGTTGTCGTTCAAGATCGAGTGGTAATACTAGACAATGATCAGAATCAAGTTGAAGTTCTTTAGCTAATTTATCTAATTTCTGATCTTGTGTTCCTGATAAAATAAGACGTGTCGTTGGTGAATGTCGTGCTAATTGTTTAACAAGTTCACGACCAGTATCTGACGATGCTCCTATAAGAATAGAAATTATCCATCACTGAAAATAGCAGTTGCTGTTGCTACCAATACTGGAAGAATTCTATGGATTTTACTGATCTTTCCATTCACTTCCAAGATCTCGACGTCTGTGTTAAAGTTTTTTCTTTGTTTTAGAAAAAAAATCTCATGTTGACTTACCCGTAATCCATACAACTTTATTTTGAAAATATTCCTCAATATCAACATGTGAAGGATATAGCCAATATGTCACCAATAGAATAATACCGAAATAAAGAAAGATTTGAAATAAAATTGCCAAAAACATAATCTCTACAAACAATAACATAATGGCACATTGTTAGTTCTTATTTTACTTCATAGAGAAAAAAATTCAATTTGTTTTTTTCTTCTTCATACACAAAAAAAAACAGAAAACAACTTTTACATTACATAGAGATAAAGCAAAAATATATTTAAGAATTAAGTTTATCTATAAATAATTGAATTTGATTAAGATCAGTTGTTAATTGATCAAATGAATTTTTAATAATATTATATTGTTGATTATTTTCTTTTAATTTTTTATTACTACGTAATTGAAGAAATTGATTTAGACGTTTATTATTTGTATTTAATAATAATTGTCGTTTATGGTTTTGTTTTCGTTGACGATAATGAAGTATCCAAAGTGAATAATATTTTAATTGAAGATAATGTTCACGTTTTTGTCTGGATTGTTTTTTAAGAGAATTTTCTAATAATTTTTCACGTAAATTAACTTCTTGATTAGATTCAATAACAATCGAATGTAATTCTTCTTGTAAAAATTCTTCAAAAAATAGATTTGATAAAAGTAAAATTCTTTTTAAATGACTTTTTTTTAAATATCGTCGTGATTTTAATATATTGGTTGTTTGTTCAAGAGTTAAATCATGTTCAGTGATTAATTGTATACCAGTTAAAAATTCAAGTAATTGTTCATTATTTAAAAAATGATATTTTAATTGTAATTCTTGAAGTATGAAACGTTCTTCTTGTGCTTGAAATGAATTTTCAAACCAAATGGAAAAATATTTTTTTGTTAAATATTTTTTTCGTTTTCGTTCATTTTCTTCATTTAAAGTATCACGTAACATTTTTTGTTGAAATTCAAAATCATTATAATATTCATTTGCTACAGAATTGATTTCATCCAAAACAAATTCATTGAAAATTGTAACTGTTTGACTTGTTAGATTATTCCATTGAGAAATTAATTCACTAAAAAAGAATAGATTTTTTTAAATATTAAATTCCTTGTTTTTCTTACTCAAAAATAGTATAAGTAGTTTCTCGAATGAATGGATCAACCATTTGTTCGTATAATTCATCAGCAAATACATCTATTGAATTTGTTGATAATCGACGTGCAACAGGTGGTGGAGGTGGTGGTGGTGGTGGTGGTGGTAGTTGTATCGTTGGTTCCGTTACTTTAAGTGATGGTCTCGGAATCTGGGCAGGTGCTAGAATTGGTTCGGCAGGTGATAATATACGTTGAGTATCTCTCGGTCGTTGAATTTCAGATGAAAATAGTGATTTAGATGTGGATGGATATTGTTGAGTTGATGAACTGAATATTCTTGTTTGTAAAACTGGTTGAGTAAAAGGATTGAGAGTACTTCTTAAAAAAAAAGGGAAAATGATTGATAGATAAAAAAAATGTTCCTATGTTACGTTGGTCGCGAAGCTGGTGTTGGATTTGAAGTGAATCCATCAAAACGAAATGGTGATGCCGGTGTTGTTACTGCTGGCGTTGTTATTGTTGTTGTAGCACTTGCAAAAAGATTTGCTGATGAAATAGGACGAGATCTCATTAGCTAGAAAGATAATGAATAGTGTTCACCTTTCTTTTAAAAGTAATAGAATAATTCAATACTGTAAATGTATTTGCTGTTGTTGTTGATGCCATTGATCGAAGAGCACTTTCAGACGGTGGACGTCTAGGAATTAATGGAAGTTGAGATCTGTGCTGTTGCTGTTGTTGTGGTTCAAATGTTGGTGGTGGTGGTGGTCTTCGTGACATCATTTGATCTATAATTCATAATTTCAATAACTAGTTTTTCATTTTTACAAAATCTATTTACTTAATCCATCAGTATCAAATGGTAATTTTCCAACAAAACATCCTTGTAAATCAAAACTATCTTCAATATTTGTATCAGGAATAATAACTGGTGTATCACGAGATCCAGTAATAATCTTTAGGAAGTAAATAATTTTGTTTTATAACAATATTTCTTTATTTTTTGTAAACTTACATCTTTTAAATTTCCTTTATATTTTGATCGAACTAATTTGTAAGATAATTTATTAATTGGTTGTTGTTGAATTTGATTATCTGTTGATGATATAATAATACAAGGTGGATTAGAATTTGATATTGAATATCCAAGTTGTTCAAGATAATCTCGTGTTTCATCATCATTATCCATACCAAGAATATCTGTTAAATCAGATAAACGAAATTCATCAGTATTACGTATCGATGAATTAAGTGAATTAAGACGTTTTAAACGTATGATAGTAAAATATCGTTGAAGTAAACATGATTGTAATAATGTTGCTTCATTGTCAATAAGTGAAAAAAATTTTGTTGTATTATTTAATAATAATGATCGATGAATATTTAATGCAATTTTAACTTCTGATACTTGAGTTATATCTTGTATTAAACGACGAATACGTCTAAATATAAAGAGCGCTTATTCAATTGAAATAAAAACAAAATTCTTACAATAAAGTTTCATTATCATCTTTTAAATTAATTAATAACATATATGATGAAAATTCGGCTATATTTCTTAATGATTGCATATTATTTTGTTGTTTATGTGTTAGATAACATTCTCGTAATTGATTAAGACAATCAATTAACATTTTTTCATTTAAATTAGGATCGAATGAATCACGTGAATATTCAGATAAAAATGCTGAGCAAAATATATGAAAACGTGCACATTGTTCAAGAATTTCAATAGCTATTTCATCACGTAAATGTTGTTGAGTTAATTCCTAAAAAAATGAAATTTTTTACAATATAAAAAAAGATAAATTTACTTTTCTAATAGCTCGTAAACGATCCCATAGAAAATTATACCAATCACTTTGTTCACGTTCTTGATCAAATTTATCCATTATATTTGTTATTAAATAATTCATTGTGTGTAATAAAGCAGGACCTGAACGAAGATCATATGCTGATGGCATAGCCTATATATATATATTAAATATAACTTAATATAAATGAAAATATATAAACAAACTTGATCAGCTGATGCTCTTGAATATTGTGTAATCATTAATGAATGATTTAACTAGAAAGAAAATTTTTAATTTAATAGAAAAATATACATTGATTATTACAACATACAGCTCGAGTATCTGGATCAAATTCATATGGATTTAATAAACGTTGAAACTCTCGAGTAAGTCGTTCTCGTTCACAACACATATCAGGACTTAATCCGGTTCGTTGAGCAGCAATTGCATCGAATGATGAACCTTTATTAAGTTCAATGTCTAGAAAAATATCTCATTTTAAAATTACATTTGATAATTGAAAAGAAAATATTACACTTTCGCCAGATTTCATCACGAATATCCAATGATTTGATTCTTTCTTGAAATGTAAGTGCTCGACGCTCTTTAAGTTGAGCTACAAGTGAAGCTAATTGATCATTCATTGCAATGCAGGTTTCTTTTTCAAATCAATTATCTGCGAAACAAGATGGATAAATGATAAAATATAGTAAGATTCTATTTAAAATTACACATCCATTTTTATATGAATCAGACAAAGAGAAATGATTGAATCTGTTCGATTTGTTATACGAAATAACCAGTAATTCTTTCATATCAATTGATTGTCAAAATCATATTTAATACATCATTTTACTAAGAGGGAAAAAAATCTAATTCAAGAACAGATATTTTTCATAGACTTTTGTCAGTTTTATGAAACACATGTAAAATTGATATGAGCGCCCTCTATCACAACTATTTTACTTATGTTATTTTCGTTTGATTGATAATCTTTTTTTCGTTTGAGATGATCAAATCAGAACTCTAAATTTTAGCGGATGCCAGCTTGATAGGTCCTGTAGCAGACTCTCTCTTAATTTTCTGCAAATCTCTAAAACACACGGATTCAATTAAAATAAGACAATTATATTCAATGAATGATATACAAAGAAAAAATAGTCATCAAAAGTGTAATGTCATATAATTGTTTTGTAATTAAGATGGTATCTTTTCATTTGTTTAATGGAACATATACTTCAGCACTATCAAAACCCATAAATCCACCAGCAACTAATACATTTCCATCTTTTAATACGGTTGATGTATGGAATTCTCGTTGATCATTCATACTATCATCAATTGCCCAGGTTCCTGAGACTGGATCATACAGCTCAACACTATTTAGTACACTAGAACAGGAATCTCCACCAGTAACTAACACTTTTCCATTTCGTAATACAGATGCTGCATGATATTCTCGACCATCAGTCATACTACCAGTAATTGTCCAAGTTTCTGTTGACGGATCATATAATTCAGCAGTATTAGAGCGCTCACCACCAGTAACCAATACTTTTCCATTTTGTAATAGAGATGCTGTATGTGACATCCGTCCAGTATTCATACTACCAGTAGTTTTCCAAATTCCTGTCGATGGATCGTACAATTCAGCACTTTTTAGCATAGGACCATTATATCCGCCAGCGACTAGCACCTTTCCATTCTGTAATACAGATATTGTATGCATTGATCGTGCATCATTCATGCTCCCAGTAGGTCTCCAAGTTCTTGTCGATGGATCGTATAATTCAGCACTACTTAGAAAACCTTCACCACCAGTGACTAAAACTTTTCCATTTGGTAATATGGATGCTGCGGCAAAGCTTCGTGCATCTTTCAGATTGCCAGTAATTGTCCAAGTTTCGTTTAATGGATTATAGAGCTCAGCGCTGTTATCATTCCCACCAATAGCTAATACTCGCCCATCTTTTAGCACGGCTGCTGCATGTCGATATCGCGCATTATTCATGTTACCAGTAACTTTCCAAGTTCCGTTTGACGGATCATACAACTCACAAACATTTATAGCTGTAGCTCGACCATTGTCACCACCCGCCACCAATACTTTTCCATTTGCTAACAGGGATGCTGTGTGTTCATACCGCACATTATTCATGTTACCAGTGTCAGACCAACCTAAATAGATTTATTTTGTGATTTTATTCTTATAGAAATGAATACATATTGCGTCAAATTCAACGAACTGTGGATATCTGAGAAAATGAGCAGCATCAATCTAAAATTCACCTGGTCCTAGATTTGGAGTTGTCTCTTGTATGGATAACAGAAAGAAAATGGATGCCAAAAGTGTAGAATATTTGCTGTACATTATGTTCGTATCTATAACAATGTTCTACAAGAAATTATAATTTAAAAAATGAATAAACTATTCTTTGATTCTATTTATGTTTGTCTACTGTTCTCATAGGAGTAACGAAAGCAATGTCCTATTATCTTCAGCACACAAATATGTTGCTTCATCTTTACCTATATAGAATCCATAGTGTATGTTGCAATACTATGTAGATATAATTTTATTCGAACGGCGTACAGGAGTTATAATATAGGTCAGAATGTCGTTGTTTATTAAGAAAGAGAAAAACTATGATAGTTTGTCCTATTTTACAGTTCTTACATCGCAGAAAAAAACCCACTGTGTTGAAAGACTTTTTCTTTTTATAAAGAATTCTTTATCTTATCACATGCATAGCTCAAATACAAGCCTATCCACATCTTGTATACTTGCTAAAAGTCGACCGATTTGACGAAATCACCTATTTTACCCTAGTTCTTTTTTGTGCAGCAAAGAAATGATATATATATATATATATATTCTTTTAGATCTTCCAAAAGACTGCATTGAAGTTAGATAATGCTATTAAATACTAGAAAAATATTATGGCTACCATTTATATTATATTTGGTTAAAAGCGATGATTCACACAAGTAAGTCTAAGAGAAACCTATTGAAGATTTCATATTCTTGTTTATTTCTTTAGTTATCAATGTTTTTGCTCAGCAATAAATTATGATACAGGTACTGTAGTTCACGATTTTGGCATAGTTTGGAAGTGTGAAACATCACATTCAAGACAATGCACATGCAATGATATTAGCAATTGTTCTTCAATATGTTTAATTCATTTTGATAGTTGGATCAATAACTTAGACAATTGCAGTGTTCATCCAGGGCGTTTTATAGCATCAATTGATACAGTTAATTGTGGAGGTGGTCTTATCGATAGTAGTGTCAAACAATGTTCTGGTATTGTCATTTTAGACTCTTCCAAAGATGAAAAACCGACAGCGATAATTGAATATAACTCATCGATCAACTCCAATTTTCCACTCTATGTGACTCGACAAGATGCTACTCAGTTACAAAATGGAGATGTTTTAATAACAGGAGGTGCAAGTTACCAATTACCAGATTTCCATCTATGTAAGTTACAATAAATCATGTTTTTCTATGACTCACATGCAATATATCTTATCGTTAGATCCGTACTTTTTTGCTGCAACATATTTGTCCTCGTCTGATACATGGAAGGTGTTACCACCTTTGGATCCACCTCGTTTAGAGCATCGAGGCGTTTTACTACCATCTGGTATGGTATTATTAACTGGAGGTTATAGAAATTATCTGCAAGGTATGACTAAGAGTGAATTGTACGATCCATCATTAAATACATGGATTTCTGTTCCTGATATGCCAAATCCACATTATTGGCATACAGCTACTGTTCTAACATCTGGAAGAGTTTTAGTTGCTGGTGGTGGTCAGCCCGAATTGGCTTCATCAGACTGTGATATATATGATCCTCTCTTAAACACATGGACTACTGTTGGTTCGATGAATTTTAAACGTGGTCAGCACACAGCGACTTTATTACCATCTGGTCACGTTCTTGTCATTGGTGGTGCTTTTGATAATCTTGTCACCTGTGAAATGTACGATCCTGTCAATGATACATGGACTCAGATTGCCGATATGCACAATTCACGTGCTTATCACACAGCTACCATGCTGCCCTCAGGTAAAATTTTAGTAATAGGTGGTTACGATGAAAATCAACCTCAAGCTACCTGTGAAATCTATGATCCTTCATTGAATAGCTGGACGTTGGTTGCTTCTATGTGGACTTCACGTGCTGCACATACTGTTACTCTCTTACCATCAGGACATGTCTTAGTTACAGGCGGTCTTGATTCACTTGATCCTAGTGTTACTCTAAGCTGCGAAATCTATGATCCTATTTCTAATATATGGTCTAACGGAACCTATATATCAGTACCACGTGCCGCACATACGGCTAGTTTGTTACCATCTCAAAAAGTATTAGTTACAGGTGGAGGAAATGATCCATTTGCTGTATTATATAATGCATCATCGAATAGATGGAGTTCTGCTTCAGAATATCCGGATGTACTGTTTCAACATACTGCAACTCTATTACAATCAGGATCAGTTTTGTTATTAGGTGGCTCCAATTCTTGGGATGTGACATCCACCTCTATGCTATACGATGCTCACTTCGATACATGGAGTGTCTCAACTAGTATACCACCACTTACTTTACACACAGCTACTTTACTATTAAATGGACAGATCCTAATTATTGGTGGTCAAGAAAACGATCAAATTCTCTCTCTTTGTCGTATATACGATCTTGCTTCCAATAACATTACGAATGTTACGGAAATGGCATCAGCTCGTTATCAACATTCTGCTGTTTTATTACCATCTCAAAATGTACTAGTAATCGGAGGTTCTGATGGAGAAAACACTTTATCAAGTTGCGAAATGTACAATTCAACATCCAACGAATGGACTCAAGTTTCTCATATGTCAACTGAACGTCGTCTACATACAACTATTAGTCTATCGTCCGGAAAAGTTTTAGTGATGGGTGGGTTTGACGGCATGCATTCTTTATCAACTTGTGAAATGTATGACTCCACAATTAATCAATGGGCTACGCTTCGAAGTATGGTTGAGCCACGTTCACAACATACAGCCACCTTATTGCTGTCAGGAGAAATATTAGTCACAGGTGGATATAATAATCGATCTTCTATGGCAAGTTGTGAAATCTATAATCCCTCAAGTAACACATGGAAAACAGTAAGAAGCATGTTGAATGAACGTTTTTCTCACACTGCTACTCTGCTACCATCTGGAAAAGTATTAGTCGCCGGTGGAAATGGTCGAGATGAACTTCGTCAAAGTGAAATTTATGATCCTGTATTAAACGCATGGTCATCTGGTGGCAATATGTCATCAGCACGCTTTCAACATACAAGCACTTTGTTACCATCTGGTAAAGTTCTTCTGACTGGTGGTTTTGGTGAATGGTTTGGCGATATTTTCAATTCTTCATCGAATACTTGGAGTCCAGTCGATAAATTTCATTCTTATCGTACACAGCATACAGCCACATCGTTACCAACTGGTGATGTGATGATTACAGGTGGCTCAGGTGCATGGGATCAAATAGCAGCTAGTGTAGTATACATATCTTTATCGAATCGATGGATTACAGGTAATAGTATGCGACGTACTCGTTCTCAACATACTGCCACTTCGTTATCATCGGGTGAAATTCTAGTAGCAGGTGGATTTGATAATCCATGGAGTATAAGTGATTGTGAGATTTATAATCCGCAAACTAGTGAGTGGACTTCCATAAACAATATGATCGATGAACGTTCAGGACATATAGCCATTTTGCTACATTCGGATTTAATTCTAGTAACAGGTGGTCAAAATTATTTTAATAATTATCTAACATCTTGTGAAATGTATGACCATGCGACGAAAGAATGGAAATCAATTGCTAGTATGTCACATCGACGCGCTCAACATACTGCAACTCCATTATCCTCTGAGATAGTGTTAGTAACCGGTGGTTATGATCATGATGGTACATCATGCCCCAATTCTGAAGTATACAATGCCACCTCAAATACATGGACTAATGTTGCTCATATGTTATTACCTCGCGCTGAACATACTGCAAATCGATTATCATCAGGACATATCCTAGTTACCGGTGGTTTTAACAGATATAAGGCGTTGTCAAGCTGTGAGATTTACAATATTTCATCTGGTTTGTGGCAACCAGTTGCAAATATGACATTTAGTCGGTATGGTCATACTGCTACTTCATTATCATCTGGTAAAATACTCATAACAGGAGGTACCAATATGGATCATTTGTTGACTAGCTGTGAAATTTTTGATCCTACATCGAATACATGGTCACCTGCTGCCAATATGTCAACACCACGTTATCAACACACAGCTACTTTATTATCCTCTGGCAAAGTACTCGTTAGTGGAAGCAAAAGCACATCACTAGGTGAAGTGTATGATCCTACATCCAATACATGGAATTCTATTGACAATGACTTTTAATTATCATGAATACAGACTACAGTATAGTGGGTGGGTGTGGGTGTAAATATCTATCACTTGAACGTTTGCGCCCACACTCTCCTTGACGATTTTTTTGAGAATATTCAAATTTATAATGTAAGAATGATGGAAAAACAGGAAAATAATTTAGTGATCTTCATTTTTTTCTAAAATAATAATTCTATGGCACAAAAATGATACAAAAGTAATGAGACCGAGAGCGAGTACAAGCTAAGGTTCACTCATTACAAAATTGCATCTAAATGTTCTGCTTGTTTATTCTTGAGTAATAGAATATTTCTTCTGACAATTTCTTGATTTTTTTCCCTACTATTCACAGAAAGAATTTTTATTTGCTTTATTTTCTAGGATGTTTAATGACACGCATTTAATAAAAACTGTGATTTGTTACCTTTTATAAAATATATTACCCATAAATAATCTGATATCCTTCTCGATCAGCTTGCTGCTTAGTTATTTATAAATACAAACGATTAATCATGCAATTTTCATGAACTACAGGCGATTAAACATACAAAACAAATACTTTTGTAAAGAGATGTATTTGATATCTCTCACAATTAAATTATAAAAGATCAATATTAGTCAGTTTTTCCCTAAATGAGAAATAGTATTTCTGAAATGAACGAACTTAGTGCAGAAGATATTAATCAACCACCAAATTGGTGTAATATAATATTTTCGTTATAACTTGTTAATGAAGCATTATCTGTTCCATGTTATTTATTTGTTTTTTATCATCTTTTGGCAAAAAAAGTAGCACATACAACTTTATACGATCATTCAACATTAGTTCTATTGATTTTTAATTTCCTAACTCTTATAATAGATGGGGTGTGTATCGATGTCGGTATAATAGATGTTGATATCACTCACACCCTCAATTTTTAATATTACATTCATGTGTAAGTTATTCTTTTTTATTTTTTACGATTTTGCCTCTTTTTTAGATTGTTTTATTGCATGACCACTACTTGAGGTTATTTTTTTACATTACAACAAATACTCGTAAAGAATTAGAAACGTAGGTATGTCTGAGAAAGTCATTTACACACATACGTATGTATATGTATCTTCTTATCAGTAGGTTTTCTCTATTATGTTTTAATTATGTGCAGAGTTGTTCTCAGTATCTACTTGCGAGCCACTAGAAAATAGAATTAATTTAAAAATAAGTGAACAATATATTCTTTTATTAATTTATCAACTATTCGTTATAATTTTTTCTTTTATAATTTCAATATTCTTTTTCACATCTTTAATATCAGGATGAGTTGGAGGCAATGCACGTTGCCATATGTCCAGCGCATGTTCAAAACATGATAGTGCTTTCGAGTATTCTTCCATGTCATCATACACCAAACCGATGTTGTTGTATGAATTAGCCAATAAAGGATGATTAGAAGGATGATTTTTTTGTATAATTTCAAGTGCTTTTTCGAGAGATAAAAGTGCTTTCGAATGTTCGCCCATGTTGTAATACACACTACCGATGTTGTTGTATGAACCAGCTAAATCACGATGATTTTTTGGGAGAGTGTTTTGTTCAATTTCAAGTGCTTTTTCGT